TTGAAATTTACAAAATCTTGCCAAAATGCGAGCAAAAATGAAATATGTTTGCAAGAAATTTATCAATCATCAAATCAAGAAATGTTTGCTATTTCGCTGTCGTCATGCAGTCGTTATAATGCAAACTTTAAATTGGACCAATCAGTGTCCGCTATTCATGACAGTCCGCCATATTTTTGAGATCAGTGAGGATGACCACCCACCGAAACATCGTTGGTGAGCCACGCCCGCGATATTTGATGAACTTTAGACTTCGCTAATGATTTCGTTTCCCCGGGTGTAAATAGCCGGGGGGAATTAGTACCCTCGCACGGCGCTTCGCGCCGCCGGCTCGGGGATTAACTCTAAAAACTGTAGATATCAGTTCACGTTTTTCTCCAGTATTTTATCACATTTACCAGTGAGTGAAGTTAGAAATTATTATCTTGGACGATAGCAGTGATATTCAGCCATTTTGAAGAGCTTGCAACCAACGTGACGTCATAAATTAGCGGACATATTCACACTCATTTGCATACCAAACAAATTGAAATATCTCGGGAACAAACCATAAAAACAAGAAACTGAAAAATAAGTTACACTACAGCTTAAAGAGTTCTTTCATTTAAGAAAATAAAAAAATTCATGTCATATGCACTTTAAATGTTACCGAAAATTCACAGATTTGCAGTTATGCATTTTTGTATATATAATGTAGATACACGCACAGAAAAGTTTAAATCATTCAATGAATAAAAATAAATTCATTCGTGCACATACATGCGTCATGATCGTTTCATGAAACGCGCGACTACAAAACGACCTCATAATTGGCATATCTGCGGGTGTGCGCGCGTGGAAAACGGTGCGCGCGATTTTAATTACGACACAAATTAGAACAGCTTAAATAATTATGACGTCACGCACGCTGCTCTGAAGAACAATTGAGCCTTGTTCATCCGGCGTTTTTAAACTGAGGTGGAGATACAAGCTTCACCTCAGCGACTGTGTAAGTATCATGGAAATAAGTATTACAGTATAATACCAAATCGCAATGAATGGAAAAGTCTCTCCGGTCTCAATCCCAATGAAAGCTCCCTCAGACCAGGATGAAAAGGTGGACGTTAATCTGCGATGCACGAAATGTCAACTGATCATGCCATGCAGCTGTTCCAGCAATGCAAGAAGGGTTTCTGAAGTGCAGTTATTGAACTATGAGTTGTCTGAAAAGCAGGAATTGGCTGCCGAAACTGTACGTGTCATGCAAACTCGGAGACGAAAGTCCGTATCAACAGGTTAGAAATATTATACTTGTATTTTTCATCATCTTTTTAGAGCGATGGCTTAAAAATGAAAAGCCAATTCAAATGAAATGGCGACATCCATTATCGTTGTTTCAGAATTAAAAAAATATACATGAAAAAATTTCTCAATTCTGATTGGCTAAGAGCAGTGGAATTTTTTCGAAATACAGTGCAAATTTCGTTGACTATAAGATACTTATAAGATACCAAGCAGAAAATAATATACCAAAAACCCAAACATTTACAACTGACAATAATGGCTGGCGTTTTTAGTAGATTTTCTATTAAAATTATTTATATTAAAGGCACAGTTCAGCCTTTTGAATGATGTTTTTTAAGGCGCATTTTAGGCCTTTTAATTGAAAAAACTAACTAGAAAAATCAATTATGCATGATTCAAGATCAGTAAACTCAATGTTTTTAACAATAAAAATGTTTTAAAATGTTAAAAACATTAAGTTTGCTGATCTTGAATTATGCTTAATTGATTTTCCTAGTTAGTTTTTTCAATTAAAAGGCCTGAAATGCGCCTTAAAAACCATCATTCAAAAGGCTGAACTGTGCCTTTAAAATTAACTATTTCGCATGTGACCTACGCGTGAGTATCCAGGTGTTAGATAGATAGATCGATCGATCGATCGATAGATAGATAGATAGATAGATAGATAGATAGATAGATAGATAGATAGATAGATAGATAGATAGATAGATAGATAGATAGATAGATAGATAGATAGATAGATAGATAGATAGATAGATAGATAGATAGACAGACAGACAGACAGACAGACAGACAGACAGACAGACAGACAGACAGACAGACAGACAGACAGACAGACAGACAGACAGATAGACAGATAGATAGATAGATAGATAGATAGATAGATAGATAGATAGATAGATAGATAGATAGATAGATAGATAGATAGATAGATAGATAGTTTAATTAAAAAGTTTACATTGCAGCTCATAAAAGCTGAATTGCGTAATCTATTTACAAGTTATTATAACACGAATTTAAAATTACATTAGATGCTAAGTTTAGATATAAGACAGTTCAAGAAAATTTTTAACTACAAAGGTCAAATTGTATTAAGACTTGCACATCGAAGGAATAAAAGTCCGCTTAAAGCGTTCAGTATCATTGGAATATTGAAGACTCGCTTCTTTCTAATGTCGTAGTTTTCCTCTTGCAAAGGAGGTAGAAGATTGTGTAACTTATGAGATTCCGAACTCTTGATGGACGAGAATAACTTGTCGCATAACTTCATACGTCTATCTTTTAAAGTAGCTAAATTAAACTTTTGCAGGTTATATTCATATGACTGGTTCGGGGAAATGATAGCCAGCGCTCTCTTTTGGACGTTCTACAAGTCATCACACAAATATTTCGGGAGGGAATGGTGGAAAACCTGCGAGCAGTATTCCAACAGAGGTCTAATACATGTACAGAAAAAATTTCGGATGTCCGCAGTAGGTACTCTAGAACGTTTTAGTAAAATTAGGAAGTACATACGCTTATTAGCTTTTCTAATTATTTCACCAATATGGACGTTCCACTGGAGGTCATTTGAGAGATTCAAACCTAAGATCTTTACATGTTTTACAACACTGAGTAGGTTACCATTTACTGTCAAAGATTCGAAAACGTGTTTGGAATGCTTGAAGTCGATGATGCGTTCTTTGCATTTCTTGGCATTTAGCTCGGCTCATATGAACAGGCCCTGTGGTAGGTGTCTCCCTAGACCATAGTGTGCTTCGAGACTGAAGCCAGTTTTCCACTTCAATCGTGGCGAAGCGTAGCGCATTTCTTTGTTTCCTGAGTACTAGAGTGGAACTAATGCCTTCGACACAAAAGAAAATGCTACGATTCGTTATACGATACGGTTGAAGTGGAAAATTGGCTTATATATAACTGGCACATACTATTCTTTTAATTTATCATTCTTGCTTAATTTATTTCCTTTTGTTATGCAGATGCAGGCAACCTCCCCAAGGCAGAACCCACAACGAAAAAATCAACAGAGAAACGTATCACTTTGGAGGATTTCGTAATAGAAACGGAAAAAATGGCGGACGTGGGCTTCAGCGCTAGCAATACCACGACGAAATGGTTTTCTAGAGGCAGTACCAGTGCTAAAAACATGTTTAAAGTTAGTACTGATAATAAACTAGCGTTAAAACTCTATGGCAATAAAGCTGCCGTGGTTATGGAGCAGAGGCGTCAAGCTCAGAAAGGGGACGGTGTGATTCACCCATTCAGCACGTTTCGTTGGTACTGGGATATAGTAATGGTGATACTTATTACAACTCATGTACTACTACTACCGGTCAGCATTGCCTTTGTGGATCAAGAATTGTCACCCGGCTGGCTTGCGTTGAACTGCGTGTCTGATGCTGTATTTATCGTGGATATTTTTCTGAACTTTCGAACAGGAGTCATTGACTTCAGTCGACAGGAAGAAGTGATTTTGGACAAGAAGATTATTCGTACGAAATATCTACGTGGTTGGTTTATCATAGACGTTCTCTCCTCTTTACCTTTCGATTATGTTTATATCATTGCTTCGTCCGGTTCTTCTGGCGATCCAGACAGCGAGATACTTCAAGCATCCAGAATACTGCGCATTTTAAAGCTCACAAAGTTGCTGAGTCTGCTTAAACTTCTCAGGGTATCACGTATTGTAAGATATATAAAAGAACTCGAAGAGGTATGGTATACACTTCATAGAGATTGTAAAAGAATAGAGAGGTCATTGTGGGGAAAATCTAGGGACAAATTGAACCTTCCTGTAACGAGGGCAAGTAACGCTCTCTGATTGGATAAAGACTCGTTAACCGGATGTAAATTAACATTCCCGGATGCAAAGCCGCGATGTCTAGGAGCAGCGGGAAATTATGAAAATAGTACAACTTTGAAAATATCGATCTTTCATTTTTTAGCATAGTTCAAGCATAAGATCTCAAAATCAAAACAAGTTTTGGAACGGTGAAAATGTTTTAATTAAAGAGGGTTTTTTTTCGATGTTGAAGAGCGGTGTTTTCTTCGTGATTTCGGTGCGTCATTTTCCACGATATAAAACGGAAATTCCTGCATTTTTCGCCACAAATAAACGTAAAACAGGACTGTTGATAAAACCAGGATAGATTTTCTTGGTTTTGCATCCGGCCGGTATAACTCAAATTTGTCTCCATTGGCAAGCTTCACTTTGTCCCTTTCGTAATCTCTATGATATATTTATTTTATTTTTTATTTTATACTTAACAAGAAACTTTATGCTCGTGGGGTCCGCGCATTGAGGGCATTGTAAGTGATGGGTAATCATGTTATGGTGAGTGACGGAACTCGTGATGTTTAAGAAAGACCTTAAAGACGGGTTACAGTCCGCTAACTGTAAACGGCAAACTCCAAATCGGAAATTACCGATTATTCATACAACAATCTAGCCGATACCAATTTTATAATGACGTCATAATGTCAGTCGACCGAGGAAAGGTGACGTCATTCATTTCGAATTTTAACGATAATTTCCAACGTAACATATTACTGGAACCAAAGTTCGTTTAAACCATTCATAAATGACATGCTTCACGTATTCATTTCGTCGACGCAACTTATCAGTTCGTTAAAACGCAACCTGTATCATCAAGTTTGCCGTTAGCGGTTTGCCGTAAACATGAATCTTTTCACGAGTCGCCGGGACGAACATCGCATGATTACTTTTCGCACGTTTTAAAATTAATATTACTGCATGATAAAATTACGAATTTTACTCACCCATGTCTTTCAAAACGCACTGTACGTCCATTTCCAAATATTTGTATAGGAATTTTTTTTGACAAAGGTCTTGAAATTCAGTGAAAAGACTTCTGTTGAACCGCCATTTTGAATATTTTTGGTTTGTCCCCAAATTGCACTTATTAATTGCACAGGAGTAAATTAGTACAGGCAATCACACGGGAAGGAGTGCGATTAATTATTAACACTACGAGCGATCTTTGAAAATGTGCCTTAATTAGTTTTGTTTAATCTTGTAACCCTTAAATAAAAGCATTATGGTTTCTAGAAGGATCCTTGCCCTACTATTGCAAATAGTAGGGCAAAAAATCCCCTGTTCCATTGAATCTTTCTAATGTTCCGAATGGAAGGGGGGTTATATTGCGCGGCACCTTGGGGTATCGTACGGACCGTCGTTTACCCTCTAATTTTACTCCAATCTAGTTGCTGAACATTCAAAGTGGTCAAATGCGGATTCTGAAATTAATTGGTTGTATGTTACTGCTGTCACATTGGAATGGTTGCGTACAGTTCCTAATTCCACGCCTTATGGGCTTTCCAGATAATAGCTGGGTATCTCTTAATGGATTAAAGGTAGGACCACGTAATACAGGCACAGTCTCTGCTGGGCAGGTTTGGCAGTGGCCATTCCGAGGAAGGAGGGGATGAGTTTCTCTACAGCCTTTTCGCTTTACCGACCAACTCAGTTTTACCGATCAATTTACCGAACATTTGAACATTGCCCACTTCCTCCCCACTCGTCCGTACGCCCCTGAGGTTTGGGATAGTTGCAGGAAAAGAGCTGAATTGGTATAGTTGTATTAGTAACATGTCACGTAAGATTTGAGACAGTATGATTTCAAGATTAATTCATTTTATGCCAAGTCTGGAATTGGCAATAAGATTTGTCAAAGAATTTTGAAATCAATCGCACGATCAAAATTGTAACCTTTGCTTTAATTTTACTGCAGTATACTTAATGAAATATTTGTACTCTTCGAGCCCAACTGAATTCATGCAGTGGTTAGTGATATTTTCACCAATTAATCCTTAATTAACTATTTTTATATCACTAGCGACGCTACTTGAATAAAGGAATACCAAATCGTTTTCCGTGCAGGATAGCGTCTTCCATGCACGCGGGGTGTTGCGAGACTTTCGGGAAGAGTAAAAAACACGGGCCGCATGCGACTCCGAACGCTTTACGCTTTCTTGATGAGAACATTCGTATTCTTCAACAATTTAAAATAAAATAATGATATTTGGTGAGAAAATTAAACTTATAGTTTATGTAAGTCTGCATGATTTTGTATCAGATATACAAACTCTTTCACGCTCATGATTTCCTTTGCGTTTTCGTCATGAATAATTGATGAGTTTTACAACCAAGCTTACACCATCAGCTATATCATATAAACACACAGTATATATGAAGAAATCGATGTCCAATAGATTCCTTATGCAAAGAATAATATTAAAACAAAATGAATAATATTGATTGAAGTTCTCAAACAAGAGACAGTTCACCGTTCATTGTTTTCCGGTCATATTCGGCAATTTTTGGCCCAGTACAGCAGGGCTCATTTTACAGCGGATTTCCAATGAAAACACACAGTGAACCAGCACATGTGGGAGAAAATACGCCAAATTTTACCAACGCCCGTCGTTTTAGGGTCAACCTTCACACAATGTTAGTTAGGACGATTAATACAATGTCGAAATATCTCTATAACAATGCATGCTCACAGCTTATTACGAAAACACGACAGATAACTGTTTCACATTGTCGCCAATGATTGGCTATGTCAATTAACATGTAGCCAAATAAAATATGAAAAGTGTGTTTAAAGGGAAATAGCAATAAAAGTTAGGTTTCTCCAATTTGGAAGAGGATTCAATATAGTTCAAAACCTTTTTACAGATTTGCTACACCGTTCTTGGTATAAAAGATATTACCCTTCAGTTCAAACAAAATCATTATGCATATCTTGGATATGCATATCCATCGTCGGATATGCGTGACTTCACAACCATTTAGTATCTTGAGGAAATCTCAGGCCATTTTAATGATACTATTTTTTGCAATTTTTATTTATTGCTTATTTTAGCATTAAGCACAAGCTATGTATAAACTTTCTGCTGATAATATTTTTTATTTTTAAAATGTCTACCATCGTAGCACGTCATGTAGTTGGATCTAATTATAAAACAAGATGGCGGACGGTAGGATATTTTGGTTTCGAATATCTCAAAGACTAAGATAGTTTGGGAGAATTTGTAGAAAGGATTTGTAAATAATCTTAACATTCTTTCAAATCAGGCAAACATAATTTTTGTTGTCACTTGCCTTTAAACAAAAACTTTAAACATTCTGCTCATGCGTGTGTTTCGTTTATATAAATTGTTTGGAACAATAAATAATTCCAATAAAATTTTAATCTGTGGCTTATTTCGCAAACAGATTTCATATTATTTATATTTATATGAAGTATTTTACACAGTAAACCTTACAAGCCTCCTCACATTTTGAATGAATACTGACACACAGAACTTTAAAACAAATGCCAACTTCACAACAATGCAAAGTGTAACAACAATGATGATGGCAGACAATGGAGTGACAATGCTCTGCCAACTGAGCTACGCGGTCAGGACGGTTCGAGTAAGTGATATTTCGAAACAGAATCTAGTTCCTTCGATACCAATGTAATCTAGTAATATGATTTTTTCTGTGTTGGTAATACTTATGAACAGTTCAATCCAAATGGGGCAGCAGCAATTCACTTTTCGAATGGTAAAAGCAAGGCATCCGCATGTCGTTTCTTTGACAACAAGGCTGATAGAAATCCTTATTCAAATATGAAATATCATATTTGAATGTGTTTGGATAATATTTGAATGATTGCCATGAATGTGTAAGGTAGAAATTTTATCTTTGTATTTGCAATTCGCGACATGATTTTTGAATTGTGAGTCAGTTATTGCGACATTGAGTGTAGCTGCAAACGGCTGTATCGCAAACATATCGATACACATTTGAGTATTGTCACCGTCCACGACTGTACTTCGAACCCAGACCCTTATGTTTTGCCAGCGTGGTGTTTTATTACCAATGTTTGCAAACAACACAGGAGTTAATTTGAAGATACTGAACGTAATCTGTGCGGTGATATTAAGACATTGTAGAAATGTTCCTCCAGGGGAATTATGTTTAAAACTTGAGTTGGTTATTAGAATGGAGGAGTCATTCGAATATTTGCTGTGTATACCAAATATGTTATTTTTGACTAGCGTATTCTGAAACACTAATTCCGACCTGGTTCCTACATCAAGCAGAATCGCCCTTTTCGAATTTGATATAACTAAATTGAGGAATTTGACTCGCGTTTTATTAAGACTTGGGCTCTTTATCATAAAAAGGTCGTACCAATTCGTGCACCGAATCTCAGCTTTCCCATTGAAACCGTAAAATGAAACAGATTTTTTCAACTGGATGGAGTGTGTTGCTTGCCTCAGGTTTTCGCATTCCATATATGGTTTTCCTTGTGCATAATCAATGTAAATTTCATCTCCATCATTGGACATCTTCACTGCATGTCGCACATTACGACATGACATAGCCCAGGTACCACAAGTATTGAGATCATCTCCATGATGGCTGACAAAGAAGGTATTAGTCACAACCTCCGGAATACGTAAAATTTTGAATGAGCAGAATAAATGAGGAGGTTTTTTGTGCATAGAAGAATAACACGCTCTGGATCTAAGTCACTATAATAGAATGATAATATGATAAGAAAAATTGAAGACCATACTGGTCCTCGTATTAAATGTAAACAGAAATTCAGTAAATAATACACAGACATATAAAATCCTACCTTGGAGAAAGATCAATACTGCAGTCAGCAGGCATCGTATTTCAAACACACAGTAAAGAGACATGATAACTGTTTCTAGTATTTACCTATCGACATGAAGTGCGATAGCAGCTTTTTTGTATCATAATTGTTGCTGGTGGAAAACAAAATTATATTCTTACTCGTAAACATGGCAAACCTCAACTGAACATCTTATTTATAATTGTGATGAATTTGAAATCTGATATGCCTGATGCTTTGTATCAATTGTCAGGTTTTTCCATCAATGGTAAGGACAGTACAAATAAATCTGCTGGCCGGGAAAAAGAAGAGTGGATCTTGAGAGAGATATGATTTGACGTCTAACCCTTTCAAGTCACAACGATATAGTTAATGATTCGCAGTGTTTATCGCCCACCTTCGCATTCCAAGGCTGAGGACTTAAGTTTGGAGGCACGATTGAACAGGATAGTTGCTCAACAAGGAGACTATTTTATTTGGAGATACAAACATTGATGGAAAAATACACGAAACATTGGTAAACACTTGCTACTTAAAACGCTTTGTTCTTTGGATTTTAAAAAGTCAGTTAATTAACGCAAAAAATATTAAAATTGTGTTCATATGAGAAACGAGTCAGTCCGGCTAAATGAGATCTCACCTTGTGCTAGTGGGAACTCAGTGATCAGTGGAATATAAAATTTTCCACGTCTGATCGCGATGGACATATAAGGACAATTAAGGCCACCTAAAGTGTCAAGGAATTGGGGAAAGCAAAGACTCGCTTATCAGGCCATAACAGACTGGAACAACTTGGACAGAAAGATAAAACTATCTACTAGTATTTCTACATTTAAGAGAAACTTTTTTAGCAATCTTTGAACTTTCCCGCGTATAATTTTTTAATATTTTTCATAGTTATGTAGTATATGCATGTCTTCCTTGTAAAATAGTTTATTTAGTTCAGGACCTTTCTGGAAATCACATTGTGAGAAAGCTTCCTGAAATTAAATATTAATTTAAAAAAAAAGGGGAAAAAAAGAAGACATTTTCAGTGCGGACTTTGGCTTATGATATACTATTGAACGACATAGTTGAAAAATACATAGAAAAAATAAACATTACTACATATAAGCAGACACTATTAAGTCGTAGTACAAAGTGCAGTTTGTTTAAGACGCCATGTTGACATAAAGCACAAGCACATGAACACAGACCAACCAGGCTCATATGAACATGCCCTTGGTGCGTTGATAACAGTTTTAAATCCAGGGCCTGTTTTCACTGTAGGATTGGCGTTAGCCGAAGTTTAATTAAAATATAACCCGCTGTTTAATTAATTGGTTTCCACTGTTTCTACACGTCCTTTTTTTGTCAAAACGTCAGAAAATATAACTTCTCGTTATTGATCCAAAAAAGACTTCTGGAAAAAATATTTCAAGGTTTATAACAAAGTTGTTAGAAAATTTGTTTTAAAGATTTATTTTAATCTAGGATTAAGCATATCGAGCCTTCGAACAAATGGCCTCAGGGTAATAGGGAAATAAAACTATATATTATTTTGTTGCAAATATTAAATACAAAAATTGTGGGCAATAAATTAAAACTGATCATGAAACAGACTAACGGCCCGTCAAATTCATGTACACACTGTTAACACGTGTGGCAGTTCCATATCAACTCGTCAGCGTAATTGGCATGCAGTCTTCTAAAGCAGGCATTTATGGCAAAACAAGACAAACTAAGCAGGAATGCATTCACATTATATATATATATATATATATATATATATATATATATATATATATATATATATATATATATATATATATATATATATATATATATATATATATATATATATATATATATATATATATATATATATATATATATATATACTGATATTTGTCTCTCTTTACACAAATTCCTACATGGTAACGTTAATGGTACGATATTATAGCTACAAATACCGAATGGGTAAAAATATTTTCATGAGATGAATTATGGAATTTTCATCTTTCACCTCATGAAAATATTTTTGCTATTGCACGAATGAAAACATCCATTATTTTTTTATATGACACCAAAATACTGCAAATAGATCAATTGACAATTTTATGGAAATTTTGAGTGAATTGAATACAAAACAAATGCGTACCTTATTCAAAAATAGCTAACATCCAACAAAAAAGTGCCAACAAGCGTTTTAGTAAAGCATTAATATGAGAATGGTGGTAATTTATCGTAAAAAAAATCGTAAAAATTACCGTAAAAATATTGTATTTTTACATCCGCCATTTTGCTTCGCACGAGTTATGTATTTGAATTTAATTCCATCGGTCCTAGTATGAAATATTATAGTTAAATGAGCTGCGATCACGATACGAATAGGATTTTGAATGATTGAATTTAATTAAACCCTGTCGTTGAATAGTACAAGTACTGTTTCACGGCTGAGCGTGCAATAGTTTTCGTACTATTGCACGGTAGCAAAATGGGAGTTTTAATCCAGATCACGTGATCATAATCAGCAAATTAAATGACCAGAATTTAATGAGGTGTTATATAAAAGATAATAATATTATGTATAAACGATAACGTGTTAACTTGGAAACAGCTAGATTATAAATAAAGTATATGTACAACATCAAGTGGTTAAATATCTGAATTGAGTCATATGCCTGATTTCCATAATTCCATTGGTCGTAGTGCACGCGACCGTCGCAACGACAGTATAATCATAGTGATAATGATTCCATGTCCAGACACTTAAAATATGCAAGCGAAACGAAATCAATAATATTGACTGAATTCATAAAAAAATGCGGACAGTTCAGTCACTGTTATGGTTCAGAGTTGTATTACAGTCAGGCTTTACTCAATATTAGTTCATTCATTTGCATATTTAGTGTATACTGGGCATGGCATTATAATTGATGAATGACGGCTATGCATGCATGTGATACAATGTTGAAATATCTCTACATTCATCACAGCACAATAGAGAGCTTTGGATTTGACTACGAGTACGAGTGTCGCTACGCATTACATACTCACGCCATAATCTCGTGATAGATGCTTGTTTTTCCATATATATCTGGAGGGAGAACTCGAATCCAAAAAGTGAAGCCAGCTTCGTTTTAACCGTGCAGACAAAAACAATAGAAAGGGACTGGAACTGACGTCCAATCGCTCTTCATTTTTCGCCATCTTGGCAAGGCGTGTGCCGAAAGCTCGTATTTTGACTTCAATTTAAAGACTAATATGATGATTTATGAACTGAAAACGTGACTGGAGTTACGGTCCGTTAGAACAAATGGATTTAGCTGGAAAAATTAAACTGGTACAAAAACTGTTTACGACCATCAGAGCTATTGGACGTCAATGGCCGCCATCTTGGCTTCACTTTTCTCATCGGCCGAATGACTGAAGTTCTTGCTCCAGTATATATAGAGCTCACTGGATTTACTGCAAGATTTTGCGAAAATCCCGTTGTCAATTTCACTCTAATCTCTACCACGCCTATGAGATTTATAAGGAGTCAATAAATAATGGGGTAAGACTATGGCGTGCCCACATAACGAATCTTGTAGTCGTAGTCAAATGAATACCAGACAGAGCTGAACTATTTCACATTGTCGGCGATGAATTGCCCACGATAATATGTGACCAAATAGAAATATGAAAGGTTTCTTTTTGAATAAACGTCCGTTCTGCTACTGTACGTGCTTCATTTACATATTAAATTGTCTCTAACAATCAATAATTCAACTAAAATTAACATCCGTGGGCTTTCGCATACAGATTGCATATTATTTGTATGAAATATATTACACTGCAAACCTTACAAGTCTACTAACACTTCGAATGAATACTGATATACAGAACTTTACACCAAATGCCAACTTCACGACAACGCAAAGAGCAACAACAATGATAATGACTGACAACGGAGCGACTATGAGAATCTTCTCAATTGCATTCAATAGAGGCAGACTTTTTGAAAAAGAATAATCTTCACCATAATACAGAGCTCTTAGTAAAGTTAAACAACACAGGACTACGTGTGCACCAAGAGAAAAAGATTCCAGGATGTTTTCACATTTTCTCAGAAAAGGATTCACAAACATGTGGAAGATTAGAATGGCAACACACAATGTTAAGGCTAGAAACAATCTGAGCTGAATGTCGTAGACGAAAGTCAACACAATAATCAAGACCAATCTACGGAATATAAGAAAACCTTCCCAAGGAATACGTGAAGCAGGAAAACACACAAAAACTTGGTGAGGTCTAAATGGTCCCAATAAAACACCAAGAATGGCTGATTCACATTTCTCGGAGGTGGCCTCATTGCCATCAGTGCATGCAAACGAAATATCTTCACTGCCAAGACTTTCTGTATCGTTATTACGTCGTTCGTCTATTTCTACATTATTATTTTGTTGTATTGGTGCCTGATTTCCACAGTTCTTAAGCAACAAGTACATCCAAAAACAGCAAAATGGCAGAGGGAAGATGCAAGCCGCACAAAATTGTTTAACACCAATTCGACCAAACTTTAAAAGATACGAGCCGAGAACAGGAACTAAACAGAATGGAAGTATGGAAGAAATCACGTAAGCTAGAAGAAAATATTGAAATGTTTGGTAACATTTTATGTTACCATCGAGAAATACAACTTGATCTTCACCAACTGGTACACAATGAAGCAAGGAGAGGCAGAGTTGAGCTGAGGAAGCATACATTAATAAGGAAATGTATGTGAAAGCGGAAAGCAGTCGCTTGGAAAATGACGATTTTGAACCACTACTTGTTTGATTAGAATTTGCAGCAATATATTCCAACGATGTTCCTCTATCGCTACCTCGCTTTAATCTTCTAGACATCACAAACAACTTGTTGAACAGATGGAGAAGAAAGAGTAGTCCAAGAAGGCAATATCCTACGGAATGTAGTACGACTATCTTAGGAACAGGGCGAAGGTTTTTCAAAGGACAATTAAAAGATGGAAGATTTATTACAACCATATTCATTACCCTAGAGATAACATCCTCAAAATTATGAAGTAACTCACCCCTTTTAGAAGAACCTACAGAACGTCTTAGAAAATGACAAACTTGATAGTAATAGAAGAATATCTTAATCATCCCGCTGGATGAAGATGTATTACCATCAGTGTTTCGTTGCTCGGTTCTTCTACTAATTGAAGACGATAAGCGGTTTCTAAATAAACTGTTTCGAAGAAATCTCAGAATTTCTTTATGGAAAAGGAAGAAGACAAGATATAGAACGAATAATGAAATCACTCCAAGGATAAAAAAGTAATTTAAGGAGCATTTTGTGTTTGATACACATTGTGTGGAGAACAAACTTTCCGACATTCCTTCAGGACATTGACCGCAAATTGTACCAGATCTGTTTCCATGGCAACTATCGTAGGAGACGCAGTCTTCGGACTCGCAGCAATATCCTGGTGGACATTGAACAAAACGAACTTTCATCTTACTTCTGTATCCCCAAAAGGTAGGTTTGACTGTGACCAGTCCTCTATCACAATTCCCTCCTCGAGGGCATTGCTGACATTGGATGTTATTACTCTTGTTAAAAACAAGGTCGCCTCTTTCGAGTGTGTAGGTTTTCGTTGGACACTGCTCACATAGAACATTGATATAATAACACTTGTACGTATTTCGGTCCTTGATAACTGTGCAAGATCGTTTCAGGTTTAATTTGTAGCCTTGTGGACATAAAATCGTAAAGTTCTTCGCAATAATCACCGCAGCGTTTGTGGCTGTTGGTATGCGAACGAAAACTGATTGCGTCTTTTTCAAGGCGACTAAATTAATAGTATTATTGCCAATAAATTTAACCCACTCGTTTCCTAATGAAAACAGCTGATTCGTCTCCTCTTCAGTCTGTCGGTTTTCAAAATAAGAATTTAAAAATGTAACGGTTGCCAATTCAGAAATTGTCACTACACCCGTGTAAGGATTTCTACCAGCCTTGTTGTCAAAGAAACGACATGCAGATACCTTGCTTTTGCCATTCGAAAAGTGAATTGCTGCTGCGCCATTTGGTTTGAACTGTTCATAAATATTATCAACGAACGTATTATTCTCAAGAAATATTGTGGGAGGTTTGACTGGATACTTGCCATCATAGTAGGGGCTCACTCGAAGTGCTAACGAATTATTCCTAAATGTACTGTCTCGCATAATAACTTCCACTGCAGTTGAATTCTGATAACGTGTAGCTAATGTAAGTGTAGCCCAGTTGTTGTAGTTATTTTCGATCAACAGATTACCCAAAAATATATTTGAATGTGTTTGGATAATATTTGAATGATTGCCATGAATGTGTAAGGTAGAAATTTTATCTTTGTATTTGCAATTTGCGACATGATTTTTGAATTGTGAGTCAGTTATTGTGACATTGAGTGTAGCTGCAAACGGCTGTATTGCAAACATATCGGTACACATTTGAGTATTCTCACCGTCCACGACTGTCCTTCGAACCAAGACCCTCATGTTTTGCCAGTGTGGTGGTTGATTACGAATGTTTGCGAACAACACAGGAGTTAATTTGAAGATACTGGACGTAATCTGTGCGGTGATATTAAGACATTGCAGAAATGTTCCTCCATGGGAATTATGTTTAAAACTTGAGTTGGTTATTAGAATGGAGCAATCATTCGAATATTTGCTGTATATACCAAATATGTTATTTTTGACTAGCGTATTCTGAAACAATAATTCCGACCTGGATCCTACGTCAAGCCGAGCTACAATATTTGAATTTGATATGACCAAGTTGGAGAATTTGACTCGCGTTTTATTAAGACTTGAGCTCGTTATATTAAAAAGGACATACCGTTTAGTGCATCGAATCTCAGCTTTTCCATTGTAACCATAAAATGAAACAGATTTTTTCAAGTCGATGGAGCAATTTGATAGCGTCTGATTTTCACATTCCATATATGGTTTTTTTTGAGCATAATCAATGTAAATTTGATCTCCATCATTGGACATCTTCACTGCATGTCGCACAGTACGACATGACATAGCCCAGGTATCACAAGTATTGAGATCATCTCCACGATGACTGACAAAGAAGGTACTAGTCATAACATCAGGAATACCTAAAATTTTGAATCAGTAGAATATTAAATGTGGCGATGTGAATCTAAGTAAGTATAACAGAATGATAATATGGTAACAGGAAGTAGAAACTATTTAGTTTTTACCCTCGTAAAGGTAAACAGAAAATCAGTAATAAGACACAAATATATAAAATTCTACCTTGGTGAAGCAGCAACACTACAGCCAGTAGGCGTAGTTCGTCCATAGAGTAGTGTGGCATGATATATGTTGAGGAATGACTGTTTCAGTGTTTATCTAGGAGCACAACTGTCCTTGAAGTGAGACAATATTATTGTTTTATCACTTTTGTTTGGGGTTGGGATAAAACGCGGAACCGGAATGCGGATTTCGTAAGCGGATTCCGTAAGCGGATTCCGCATTTGAGAATAAAACGCGGATTCCGGAAGCGGATTCCGCCAATGAGGATAATACGCGGATCCCGGAAGCGGATTCCGCAAATGAGGATAAAACGCGGATTCCGCAAATGAGGATAAAACGTGGAATTGCGTAAAAAGGACGAGAAGCAGAATAGCGTATAAAAACCTAAATTATTACTTTTTAACGTCACAACCACTAATTAGAACGATTGACTAAAGTTACCTAGTTACCCTAGGCCTAACTGTTGAAGTCATACATGCATGCATTAGTGTTTGGGGGGGGGGGGGGGGGGATTGTGACTTTTTTGGACTTTTTGTCAAAATTATGGAGGGAAGTGGAAAATCGTATTTATCAATCGTATTTATCCTTCCGGTGTCCTTCCATAGTGTTCAGTTATGGCGGTCGCTCTGAAGAGCGTTCTGCTTGTTGTAATAATTCTTATGATTAAAAAACCTTGCTTTACAAACAGTAGCTCATGTTGTTACTGGGAAGCCTCGAAAGATTCTAATTCGTTTGAAGGAACGTATATCTATCCATCATTGTGGCAGTATAAGCAAGAAAGATGTCTCGTTGTCACAAGAGCGTCCTTGCTTCGTATTTTATTGCTGTTAGCTGGAGATGTAGAGTTATGCCCTGGACCGATGAAACCTCAATGCCAAGCGTGCTGGAAGACAATCCGAAGAAATCAAATCTCAGGTACTTGTGCCGAATGTAAGAATGGGTGTGAC